GGGCGGGAGCGGGCGGGAGCGGGCGGGAGCGGGCGGGAGCGGGCCCACCGCAGGGAGCGCGGGGGTGCCGCCGGGGAGTGCCTGGGGCGGAGTGACACGGGGCGCTTGTCGGCGAGGACCGGGGGCCCTGCGCGGCTCTTGCAGGACTGAGCAGCTATTATCGTCATACAACGTAATGGCGCGCTAGACAATATACAGACATTTATATCGAAAATTTAAAGAAAATTTAAACTGCGCACATGCAGTTCTCGCAAGTAGACATTGACAAATAGCACTATCGTTTTACGTTCGAGGGATGGGGATTCCCAACAACTTGCGTCTGCCCGCTGCTGCTGCTACCGCACACAGCAGCTCGGCTCCGCGCCTTGGCCTGGTCTGGCCTGGCCTGGCCGCAAGAGAACCATCTGCTCGGGCAAATTACAAATTACTGACCCCTGCCTCATGCTCCGCGCGCCGCTGCACCAGAGGCAGGCTGCTCTCCGCGGTGCATGGTCCTGCAGGGCCGAAACATGCTGTCGGCCGAGGGAGCGGGACGGAGTAGCGAGTACACTCTGCCTGAACAAAGCATGTTTATGTTCATTTGTTTTGATAAAATGTTATCAATTTTTTTATAAAAAACACATCCAAGAATGAACGGCACTATTATTAGCGCACGGCGGTTTGTTCCGTTCCCGGTGTAAGTGCGGAACGAGTTTTGTTTTGATTTAGCGAGGGGAGGCCGGGCCGGCCCGCCCATGACAAACTATCACAACGCGCCTTGGTTTCAGTAATTTTAATTTGCGCGCCGCCGGCCCGCCGCCGTCATCAAGATGCGGTGTGCGCCGGGCTCTCTATCTCTCGGCGGGCATCGCGTACACGCAAAAAAAAGATTCGCTGAGCCAGCTAATATATTGACTGGTATCTGGACAGACAAGCACATAAACTTCTGTAACCATTATATTGTCTACTCTAATCAATCATTGGCTGTGCCAGTCAAAAATTAGCTGTAAGAGCTCATCCCTTACCTAAATCTGTCGAGGTCTACCTTACTGATGCAGGCACATCATTACTTCATACAACTTATCTTTGACTGGCACAGCCAATGATTGATTAGAGTAGACAATATAGTGGTTCCAGAAGTTTATGTGCTTGTCTGTCCAGATACCAGTCAATATATTAGCTGGCTCAGCGAATCTTTTTTTTCCGTGTAGGCAAATGGGGAATGAGTGCTTCGAATGGGCCCTGCCCCCGCCTCCTGCTCGCTGCTGCTGCTGCTCGCTCATTTACTTTGATCAAACCAAACGCTTCGTTTACAAGTCTCTCCCCGCGGAGATGTTGTAGTGTGTTTTCGTTCCGCCGGACGCGCGCGCTTTTCTCTGCTGCTGCCCTGGGATTACTGGTGAAAAGTGAAAAGGGCGTAAGTCCAAATGGGATGTCCGCGGACTCGCGCCCGCTTTGCACCAGTGAGATACTCGCCGCGTGTTTGAAGACGGTAATTGAACCCGAGCGGAGCGGGTCCGTCGTGTTTTTGTTGGTTTATAACCGAGTTGCTCGCTCTTCTTGGTGCGCTCCGCGCTGTGCAGCCGTGGGCGATGCGTTCGTGAGGTCGGCCGACGCTCGGCCCAGTCGGCCACTCCCTCGGTGACGGGGGGGGG